TGGAACATGAATTCTCCATGGGCAGGAGCTATGTTCACAAGCCTCACAGAATCAATACATCCTCTCTCATTCATTTGCACATTTGCTCCACCAGTAACACTAAGAGTGGCACTTCATATGAATTAAGCATTTCACAGGCACCTGCACAGAGTAAGTGTTTTACAGACATTTAATTTCAACCACAACTCTGTGATGCAGGGCTTAATATTTCCATTTTGGGGATGCAAAAGCTGCCCCAAGATATAGCTACTAAAAGCAAGCGATGATTAAACACTGTCCAAGTGCTTAGGCAGTTCTTTCTTTATCCTCTCTCAGAATTCACTGCATATTCCACTTCTAGGGTAGACAAATAGATGAATATAACCTCAGAGTCCAGTGGGAGGACACCAGGCATGGAAGAAGCAATAGAGTATTACAGGCACTAGGATGCTAGGCTGTATCTGGCAGGAAGAGGCACAAAGAAGGAAGGAATTAATCTTACCCTAGGATAAAGTCACAACTGTTCGTGAGTGACTGAACAAAGTATAGGAAGTGAATAGTTACATACATTTTAAAGCTCTCATGGAGAGCCCATAACACCTAGACCTAGCCAAGGAAATTAATAATAGTTTCTCAACTACTAAGCTACTTTCCAATACAAGACAAAAAAAAAAAAAAAAAACCTAAATTAGTACAGAAGAGAGACTGCTGTTGTATAGGATCATATTCCCTAGAAATTAAGTGACATTTTTCCTCCAAAGAGGGTGTTGGCCAAGATAAAAGGAAAGTAATTTTGCCCTGGGGGAGGGAGGTGAATAACCTGCAAAATCCCTAGGCTGCCCTGACCCGGGGAGTGTGAGGTTAAGGACAGACACCATCTTCCCTGTGTGCCATCTGCCTTGTTGCACAGCTTTCTTTTTTGGCATGAAACATCTTTCTCATCCCTCAAAGCTCAGATAGAGAGGTCTGTAGCCTCATTCCCTTCCAACTTTTGGGAGTCTTACTCCAAGTGAAGATCCGCAGTTGGACTAAGACAGCACACCGGAACACAGCAGGTTGCCTTGGGTCTGCACATCCCAAGACTTCTGAGAATCACATGGTACAAGCGCAAGTCAAGATTTACAGTATGACCCCAATTATCCTACCAGAGATAATGCTATCTATCATACTGTTATAGGCAAACAGAACAGCCAAAGTTCATCCCTGTACAAGCATGCCTTATTTCATGGAATAATATGATAGAAAAAGAGCACAGAAATCACTTCACATATTGACTCATTTAAAATCTTTCACAAAGCTAGAAACCCTTTTGTAATTATAAAAAACCCACATTTTATATTTTATCCAAGGTATAAGTTTGTAGTGGCCAACTGTTAATTACTAGAAAAGAGCAGGAGTAGTACAGTAATAACCCCAAATGGTATTTAATATTACATGTCCATCAACTTATTTCACACAAAACATAAATATTTTAGGAGGTGCCACTGTATCTTTCCTTAATGTCAGCTTTACACTGGATTATCAATATGATCTACTGATACTCATTACAGCAATATATTATTATCACTTATAGGTAAATAAACTAACTAGAAAAAGGCCAGCGTCAGTGGCTCACACCTGTAATCCCAATGCTTCGGGAGGTCAAGGCAGGTGGATCAACTGAGGTCAGGAGTTCCAGACCACCCTGGTCAACATGGCAAAACCCTGTCTCTATTCAAAATACAAAAATTAGGCAGAGATAGTAGCACATGTCTGTAATCCCAGCTACTCAGGAGGCTGAGTAAGGAGAATCGCTTGAACCTGGGAGGCAGAGGTTGCAGTAAGTGGAGATCACGCCCCTGCCCTCCAGCCTGGGTGACAGAGTGAGATTCCATCTCAAAAAAAAGCAA